ACACACACACACACACACACACACACACACACACACACTCACACACACACACACAAATATACATAATTTATATGAAATTTCTTTACAGCTCCATGTATGTATGCACGCATATACGTATGTATCTAAGTATATAGAGTTGCGTTAACAACCCGGTCAATCTTTAATTCTTTATATTTTACTCGCACCTCTCCCTTCAACGTCTGCCTCTGCTGAAACAAAAATTAACGATCTCCTCAAGATAAAAACCTTCCCCCCCAGATATACGTATTATGGACAGCCATCTCGATATACGCCATCCCAGTTCTCATCCTCTTCATCATCTACTCGCGTATCTGTCGCACGGTGTGGCTGAGCATCTGCGACAAAAGCGACATCAAAGTCGACATGGCGAAAAGTCGTCGGAAAAAAGTTTCGATGACGTCATACGTTTCGAGTTTTCGTACGCACACGACGTACATAGGTTCTGTTCTGCGCAGGAAACACGTGGAGGAGTGCCATCGAGATATCCGTGGCGATCCCAAAGAATGTGCCCCACGTATCAATTTGGAAATGAATATAAAACTTGAAAACGTTGGGAAAGTCGCTAGTGCGGATGTGAAATCTTCAAATTTAAGAAACTTCCAAAGAAATCTCATTGAACAACCTCAAAGCGGTTCGAATACGATGAAGAAACGAATGTCTAGGGCGAAAATGAGAACGATCAAGTTGACAGTCATCATAAATGCATCATTCATTCTGTGCTGGTGTCCCTTCTTTGTTTCTCACGTCTGGGCTGCATTCGATCACAAAGCACCTTACGAAGGTATGTTTCAGTTTTTTGTTGCATCACTGCGCGTAATTTCATGCAACCAGTTCAATAGTCAATATTATTTTAGCACATTACAAATCCACAGAATTACTTTTAACTTCAACGTGTAATGCTAAACACAGTAACAGCGTTATTAATAATAAATGTCAAAACGTTTCCTTCAAAGGTCCGGCGATGACGATAATTCTGCTGCTAGCCAGTCTGAACAGCTGCGTCAACCCGTTCATTTTCATCTATTTTGTACGTAACTGATTTTGTCACCTATTAGTATGAAACATAACTAACTACTGGAATTCATTTATGAACGATGACGAAGTTTAACATTATTTTTTACTGTTTGCTGTTATCTTTCGGACCATGTAAAACTGACGTCCGAATATTATTAGTAAGCGCCTTACAACAAACAAGTTATGAATTATTTACTGAAATAAAACAAACCGATGGGTCCGGTCCTATATATAATATTTAGTTCATGTTGCAGTTCAAAAACGTTTCTAAAGACTTTTACAACACTACTTCCTGGTCAACAAAGCTTCCAAACTCGCTAAGCTTGAATCTGCATAGGATGCATACACATAAAACGACATTTCTGATTCTGCTTGCATTCAAACCAGGTCGCTGTATCACAAAAGTAGGAAATATTTCAATTGCGCGCGAACCATTTTAAAAGCTTTTATTTTAAGTTTTAAGAGTTTAATACGACTGAACACCGGCTCCACATTTACGTGTTGCAGTAGTTTTTGTCACATAAGTATAATGAGCCAATTGAAAGTTTTCTGATTTGTATGAAAAATTAAATTAAACTCATTATATAGAAGTAAGCCAGTCCAGATACGAGTTAAAATCAGTACGGGTGCGATGGATTAAGTTGGTTTGAAGCGAGGACAGAGGCGTGTGTCAGCTCGATCGTTGGGTGACTGAGATGAAGTTCTTGAGAAGTTTGCATGACGACAGTAGCTTGGTGTCAGAGGGCATGAAGTAGGAAGTGGCGCCATCGTAATACACGTAGCTGCAAACGGTTTCAAATTAAGGATTAATTTAATTTAGTATTGAAAAGTAGATCGAAACAATTAATGAAGATATAATCGAAGAGGGCGCGATACGAAACAGTTCCCTATTTAAGTAGTTCCGCCAATGAATGTAGCTGAGGTCATAAAGATGATATCAATAAATAAAGATATTATTTAAGTTCGTATTTGAAATTAAATAAAATATCGACCAATTAAAGTACACTTCGCAAAACAAATGAACACAAAAAACAACAACATCATCATCATCAACAACAACAACAACGTGAATTCGATTGAGATGCAAATTAAATTCTCACAAGAACATAATTCAATAAAGAGGAAAAAAAAAACAAAATGGCAAGGTAGCAACACTAACGGCAGCCTCATCACCCACCACCCTGGCTCCAGGACGATTGATTCCGTTGGTTCGGGAAAAAATACGGGACAAGGGGGTGGACCGGGTTGAACTTTGACCTTCAACCTCACTTCAATATCACCTTCAGGTACCGCAACATGAATACGCATCAACTGTGCAAGGTACACAAGGCTGCTCCTGCGATTGAAAAGTAAATAGTAGTTGTAGTAGCAGCAGCAGCAGCAGTAGTAGCAACAACAGCAGCAGTAGTAGCAGCAGCAGTAGTAGTAGTGGCAGAGGTAGTAGTAGTAGTAGTAGCAGCAGTAGCAGTTGTAGCAGTACTACTAGTTAAAGTATTATTACAAGTAAACTTTATTTTTTACAAGACTGAATAAAGAATTGAAAAGTTGCAAAAATTGAAATGACAAAAATAAATACATGAGCCAGTAAATAATAACAGCAACAATAACATTAACAACCACAACAACAATAATAACAATAAAAATAGATCGGTCTTTCCTACCTACAACTGCATGGGAAATACATTGGCATATCTTGATTCACGATCTTGTGACCTGTCTCCTTTGGTTAGTTGTTTTCGAAATGAAAAAAAAATTACGGAAAAAATGTAGGAGGGAAGAGGCACGTACACACCGTACACAGACACGCGCATGCACACACACACACACACACACACAGGCACCTTGAAAACGCCGGACACTGGAGCCTTGAACATCTTATTGGGAGAGGATAGGAAGAACCTGTGGCCCTTGAAGCACTCGTACTCCAGTCCTACGTACATCCTTAACAGTTTGGTTGCAGGCTCTGCAGCAGAAGAATATGCAAAAGCTGCAATACTACTGGCACTACTGCCGCTGCTAACACTACTACTACTACTAATACTAACACATTACTAACTCCTACTACTACAACCACCACCACCACTACTACTACTAATACTACTACTACTACTACACAACTACTACTACTACTACTTCTACTACTACAACTACTACTAATAATAATGCAAACAATCTTAGCATCCAACAACAGTAAAAATAAACTTACTAACTACATTAAAAAGTAAAATTACTAATGAATAAAATTAGACAGGGATGGGGGGTAGCTAACTTTTACTAGCAGAGGTCGGCCAGAGGTTGGACGAAGGTGTTGCTACTTGGAGCTTGGCATCGATCGGTAGTAGGAAGTTGGCTTGGTGGGTGAAGTTCGGTTGGTTGATGCCTGTTTTGGGGAGTTTTTTTTTTGAATTTTCACTCTGAAATTATTTGTCCTCCTTGAAAAATTGGCATCTTTTTGGTCAAATTAAATGTTGTATGCTGAATTTAGGAAGTGATATCATGGATTTCGTGAACGGCGTCGGTACTGTGATGTACCATGTTGTATTAGTGTGCTGTCGCATTGTGTTGGTGTTGAATTATGATTGGTGGAGTTGTATTGCATTGGTTTTGTCCCGGTCGTTGTGTAACTGTGCAGTACATAGCAGGGCACATGAATTGATGTTGTAAATAGTCAGAGATAAAGGTACAACAAACGAAATGTAGAAAAACTTAAAAAATAGAGTAAGAAAAGTAAAAAAATAAAAATAAAATGGTAAAGTAAAAAGGTATAGCAAGAGTAAGAAGAAGAAGCAGGCTGAAGTCGAAGCTGGCAGCTTGTTGTTGCTTGGCAGTAATGAAGACGTGAAAGGTAGAGTTGGGAGGAGGATGAAGAAGATTGAAAAATATAGTTGACCTGTGGAAGCCTCATAGGAGCAATACTTCCCAACTTTCAAGAGGGACCAGGACGGGAATGCTGGGAGAATGCCGTGCTGGATCGATACGCTGTTCAGCATCGCTGTTAACAACAAAGTGAAATTATTCACGAGGCTTAATCTTACAAATATTAAATGATATCTAAACTAAAAAATGAGTTATTTTTCCGTTTTTAACGTAAATTTAAATAAGAAAATAAATAAATAAGTAAATAAATAAATGTGATATAAATGTAAAAAAAAGTTCACCTAATGACAATCGCTTAGGTTTAACAGGCTTCAAAGGCTTTTGTACATGGAGATCAGTCAGTAGTCCAACATCAGCGCTTGATATTGACAAGCCACTTTCTTTTGGCTCGCTTTGCGAGATGATACTTGAGAAATCTAGGAAGGATCTATTGCTCATTCCAAGTGAATTTTCAAAATTACTAAAATATTCTTTACCATCTTCTTGCAAATCACCACCACCACCACCACCACCACCACCACCACCACCACCACCACCACCACCACCACCACCACCACCACCATTGTCATCACCACCACCACTATCCTCAACATCATCATCATCACCGTTATTATTATCATCATCGTCGTCATCATAATCAATGATACAATCGCCACTGTTATCTTTGCTGTAGAAATCATCTGGAATCTCGGTGAATGAGTCGTCAGGGGCGCTGATATCATCAACCTGTGATAGTTGGAAATGTCCGCCACCATCGTCGTCGTCATCAACGGCGTCTACGTAAGCATCGTCATCGTTGATGACGTCACCAGGGATGTCACTGTACCGAATTTCATTCCCGCCTCCCACATAAACCATTCCCATAAAATCACCGCTTTGATCCAATTTGTCCAACGTAAAAAGGTCGCACGTGGCTATGGGTGATGGAAAGGTTAAAAATATAAATAAATAAGTCAATAAATAATTAATTAAGTATAGAAAACCACCTAGACTGAAATTTGCATTGGCATAAAAATCGTCAGTGGCATCCTGTTTGGAGGCATTTGAACTGCACAGCTCGCCGTCATCAGCGTTTGTATTTGAAGACCTCTGCGAACATTTCGTGCCGTCACTCTTGTTGCTGCTGTTGTATTGATGCAATGGAGATGACATCAATATCGGGTCGTACAGTGGCTCCTCGTGTCCAGTTGGACTGAAGCTGCTCTCATCAGGCAGCATGTTGAAGTCAAAGTTGGCCCCTTTTTCCGAGTTGGCTGTTGTGAAAACATAATGTTCGTACTTGTGGCAGCATTTTTCCTCCAGGGCCATGTAGAAGTCATAGTTTGCGGCCTGTCGAGTTGTTTATAGTCATCATGCATCAATCTTATTCTATCTAAAATGTATCTTAGTATCATTTTTGAATTGTTATTCCTATCCGACAAATAATAATATTAAGAGGTTATAACAAAACAAAAAGGTGGCAAGTTATTAAATAAATTAAATTAAAAAATTATTTATCAATAACGACAAAAATTGATGTGACACCTTGAAATCGAAAGGGTCGTCCCTATCGTTCTGCGTACCCCCGCAGTTGCACGTGGCCCTGGTCACGACGTTGCTGGTGTGCTCCATGGCGGGTAGGCTGCTGTCAGCCTCGTTCACTTCATCCTCTTCATTCAACACCAGCCTCTCTGATTTCTTATCCTCAGGCAGCCTGTGCAACTTCAACGTTGACATGTTATAATGCTGCTATACAACTATACATCAAATTATTGACTTTGTAATAAACTAATACAATAGAAACAAACAAAGGCAGACAGACAGACAGACACTTACACAAACAAACAAACAGGCAGACAGACACATACACAAACAAACAAACAGACAGACAGACCTCATTGCAGCATTGATGACCGAGCATACTGATAGCTTCACAAAGCCTCCTGCCATTCATCCACATGTCGGTGAACTTCACTTCCAGCTGCCTCCAGTACTTTAGCACGTCAGGTCCTCGCGCGTTCGCCACAAAATAATTTCGAGCTTGCTCCAGCTAAATATTGGGACAATTTTTAGTTAAAATAGTTGAAAACCAAAATGCAAAAAAATAAATTTTAAACAAGATAAAATAAATAAAAATAGTTTTTCATACTTCATACAATGCCTGTACAATGACGATACCAGCCCACAATACATATCAGATGATAGATATAATGATAACGATACAATATAGACTGCACTACAATGCGTACAGTACACGAAACTAAACGATACGAAACGAAATAAACGAAACGATACCAAACGAAGCGAAACGAAACAAGATTTATTTTGCAAAAAAAAAAAAACGAAAAACGCTGGATGGTTGACTAGGAAAATATTTAAGAAATTTGTCGAGCCTAGCCAAGGCCATCCAGACATACATGGGACGAATGACAACCTTGGTTGTGTGGTAATCTTTTGTGTAAAATTTCGGCAGTCCTTCGCAGTACATTTCCTCTGCTAATGGAAGCAGCTTGTTGTTAAGGCTTGACGGTGTGTTGAAAATACGTCGTCGTGAATGTTTGATTTAAATAAATTATGAATGCGAGGCAAAGGAGCAAGGAGAGAAAAAGGAGAGATAAAGGAAAAATATACAAAAACAGAAGGAGAGGAAAAAAAAGAGAGACGCGGACATAGAGATGGACAGACAGGCAGACAAACAGACAGACGGACAGACAGAGAGAAAAAGAAGGAATTTGCCTACTTCTCAAGGAACTTTTCCAACAAGTCAACATTATTAGCAAAGTACGCATCAACTTCCTTCATATCATTTAGAAATTTGTCTCTGTCGATGGTGTGGCCGCCACCGAGACCACTCTCATGCTTGAATATCAAGGCGTGCAGTTGCGACACGACGTCCAGCATTTGGTTCACGGTTGGTAGCTAAGTTGGGTTTAAATTTGAATTGAATTGCTAGCAGGATGTCGTACATATTTGTGCATACGAGCTTACATATTGATTCATATCGGATAGAATAAAGGAATGTATGAGTGAATAAGTAGATGAATGAATGAATGAATTAATTAATAAATAATAATAACAACAAAAACTGGGCCCAAGCTCCAGCACCCACCAACAATGGCCTGCCCTTCCAAAAAAAACACCAACCAAACCTCGAAGACGGGACTGACATGTTGCCTGCCGACGTTATCATCGAACCCCTTCTTGAGGGCTATGTCGATGTGGGGCCTGAGGAAGGAGCAGATCGGGGGCTCATCGCATCTCAGACGTGTCAGGATGGATGGCGTTTCAAGGATGTCAGATGAGGATGGGGAGGCAGATGAGGATGCTTTTTTTAACGATGCAGTCGACTGTACAGTTGGCATGAGTTGCGACCGACTTGCGCTGTAACTTTTGGCTTTTCTGGAACTTTCTGGAAGTGGAGTTTAGTTTGGATCTATTGTATTTATCACATTGTCGTCATCTTTAATATTATCATCAGAATTATCGTCATCTGCACCAACTTAATCATCCCCATCTTCATCATTTCATCTTCGCCACCATCATTTTCAACATTTCATCTTCGTCACCATCGTCATCAAACAACATCATCCTACTCATCATCACCATCATCATTAACAATGACAACTCCAAGCAAGCAGCAAAGAATGAACATCCCTTAACGAACCGGCAGATGGAAACTTGCAAGATTGTGACAAATGTTCAGTTAAGAAAGATAAAGAATCGAAGCTGCTGTTACTATTGTTACTGCTCTGATTGGCTGACGACTGTGATGGCGTTGATGATGATGGCCCTGCCTGATGGTTTATGAGAACAAATTCCTGGTTGGCCGGTATGGCAAACAGAGAATTGTTACTGGGTGAAGGAGAATTTTTAAAAGTTCATTGGATAGTGAATTGAATAAACGAAAAAAAAACGAACGAACGAAAAATGAATGAATGAAGAAATGCATGTATGAATTAATATGATGAATGAATGAATGATTTTTATAAAAACTAATGAATAAATGAGTAAACACACGGGCCGGAGAAAATGTAGAAGTTATTCAAAACATAACATGGAGAAACGATGTTCATTTGTGGCGACAAACATTTATTAGTTTAATTGCCAAAAAATAATTTTTCAAAATATAATTCAATAATTCGACAAATTAGCACAAAAAAAATAACGCAGCAGCGTGATTGGACGTTTCGCATCTCGTCAGTCAGCATCATCTGGTTAGAATTAATGTAGAACCCGCCCCATATACGCAAGTCACTCGACCTTCATCTCGTCACACTTTCATTAACATTCATCAAATAAACGTTTTGTCCACAGAGATGAGTTTAACCGAAGATTTCAAAATGTTTTTCGATGAGATCTTTAAAATTTCTCTGTCAGTCATTTTTCAATCGCCTTTATAAATCGTATAATCAATCAATCAACCAATCAATCAATCAATCAATCAAACAATCAATCTTCGTTTAGCATCCAGAGACCCAGTTCCCCGAGGTAGGACGTATAAATCATATACATTATAATGTTTATCTGTATTGAGCGTATTTTTAGAAATAAACTGCAATGCCTATACTTCATTCGGACAGCGCGTAATCATTAATGCAGAATACAGCCGCGATCCTGATGCCAAATATGATCGCGATCCCGATAAATTATTACGACCTCAAGCGTCTAACATGCCTGGGTAGGCAAACAAGTGGGCGATTAACTGGGAAATAAGTGAATAAGTAAACAAATGAATAAATAAATATAATAATATAATATAAATGAATATAATAAATAAATTAATGAATAAATAAATAAAAAGTAGACAGAGACAGACCTGACGTTGGTGATTATTCGATCATTCCTTAAAATTTTATAAACCATATCCTCGATGAAGTGCTGCAGATCTCTCAAAGCTGAATTCTGCAAGGGTCATCATCATCATCGTCTTAATCATCATCATCGTCATCACTATCATCATCATCATCGTCATTGTCGGGAGAGCAAAAATGTACCCCCAGCAACGTCAAATTATAGCGTGTTTCACCAGCCATCGTCAGTTAGATATGCTATTATATGTATTGAAATATATGGAATGCATGCATATTTGTTATCCATATTTTTATAGTTAACAAGACACCAGGACATAAAAAAACCTACCTTATTATACATACATAAATATCACGAAGTTAAGAAATTAATAAAAACAAGAAATGAATACATTTCTAATATTAATTAATAAATTTATATAAATTTTTAAAAATCAGAAAACAGTTCAAACAACAATACATATATCATTAAAAAAATTTCGTAACAATAAGTTGGAGTTTAACAGCATCAAGCCATTAGAAGTTTCACCTTATTTTTCGGCTTTCCAGAAGACTCGACGCCACTGTTAACACTAGCATCGGCATCAGCACTGTCTGGAGTTGCCTCTAGTGGTAAAATGCATGACCCGAGAATGAATAGGACCCTTGGTGAGCACAGCCTCCCATTCGCAATCCAGGCTCTAGGTAGGTTGGGGCAGTTCAATTCCAATCTTTTTGTTATGTGCGGCTTGAATAGTTGCCTATAGGCGGTTGTATATTTGCGTTTGTGCATTTGTGTGAATGGAGAGCCCGTGAAGAAAGAAATTTATTTCAAAAGTGTGGTGGGGTCATTGAGAGTTTTAAACGAATTCAAATTCAGGCGCTATAAAATGTCGTTAAAATAAAATTAATAAAATCAAATGAAATAAAAAAATTCCGCTAAATTTAAAAAAGTAGAAAATATTAAATCGAAATTTTAAAAAAACAATATATTTCTCACAAAACATTTTTGGCATTTGAGAAAAAAATATAAAGTAAAAAAAATTCCAACTGACCTAAGACCTTCAACATCTTTGAAGAGTTTCACATAATTGGTATCAAACGTGCTGCCAGGTATATTTACCTTCAGAAAAAGGAGATTACAATCGAAAATGATAAGGAAAACATCTACAGACACACACGCGCGCGCACATTGCACAAGTTACAAACCAATATGATATGGGAAACAGAAAAGATTAGAACCAATGCCTTCAAGTGATCATGTTCACACTTTTTCAAGAATTTCTTCATCTGGTGTAATAAATATAATCAATTATAATTAATTAATCAATCAATCAACTAACCAACCAAAATGACATGAAGTAATGACATGAAGTATTTAATAATCAAAATATTGAAACACTTTTGAAGAACATATCTTCTAGTACCTTTTCTTTATTTTTGTTATACTTTTTAAAATGATGCATGACATTATATAGGTGCAGGACATCTTGAGTTGACGTCAGGTGCAGCAGAAAAACACTCTGCTGCTCAAGATAATGACCCTCTATACAAATCTGGAATGAAACAATTTTATTATTTCCATATTTATTGTCGCAATAATTACTACTATAATAATTAGATTAGCTATAGCAAATAGTTATAACTAAAATTAACATTAATAATGTATTATTGTATTGCAATGCTGTAATCAATGATGTATATTTAGCTAAAAATGTTTTTCACTTACTACAGCAAGAAAGTTTATATTAACATCATTTATGGAAACTTTTATGAAATATTGATATAAAACTGTATAGTACATTGTATATATATAAATAGATTTTATAGAAAGCCTACAGATTTTGTTCTCCACACTTTCTTTAGTTCTTTCTGAAATTAAAATTTTTCAAAATAACTAAATAAAATAAACTAAAAATAAATCAATTTAATTTATCTGAATTCAAATTTTGAATTTCAAATAACCACATAGAAGAAAAATCTAACAGGAAAGATATTAGCCCATGCAAATTCATTGAACAAAGATGATTTAGTTGAGGAAATGCTGGACTTTCCAATCAGTGAAACGACACAAACTTTTGAATCTTTATCTTCTGAAATGTTTCTGAAATAAAATTAAAAAAAAGTTTTATTTTATGATAAATGGACGTTTTCATTTAAATTTTAAATATTATTCATTTATTCAATAAATTTTATTGGTATTCATGATCTAGATTCTAAATCTTCATTGTCATTATCAATATCATTATTACAGTATAGAGTATATAATTTAAATGGCAAACATAAGATGATATGAACAATGGTTAGCTAAATAATTAATAGAAGAACTAGCATTGATCAAACATAGAAGATAATTAGAGTAGAGTAGACTGATTTAAAAACAATAAAATAAAAGATAAAACATAATGAACATTGAGATTGAAAATATGTACTATCTATTTTGCAAGGCTTAACTACAAAAAAATCACCAAGCATACCCTGACGTACTACAAACATCCGGACCCAATTCAATCATTTTAAATTTTAAAAATAAAATAAAAATTGTATATTTTATCTCATAAAACACACTTCATTACGTTAGTGAAATGTAGTAGGGTAAAAAAAAGTATAAAAGTAAAACGAGATATAAAACAGTTGTCTAGTATTGGTTTCAAAGTTTCAATTCACTAATACACAAAATTAGCTATGTATATTTAATATTTTATTTTATGTATTTTATGTTTGTATTGTTTTAAACATAATTTTGCTAACAATATTAGTTAAAACACGCTTTAAATTAATAAAATTATTAAAACTGATAACTTTAGAGTACGATTTTTAAGGCTTTCCACACAAGTTATTAGTTACTATTTTCAAAGTCACGCTCGTTCTTCGAGCGAAAAGAGCGAAAAGGATTGATAATATTTAAATATTAATTAATTAATATAAAGTAACAGAATGTCACTGATGCTAAAATTATTAAGTACAGAAGTTTTGTTAAAGTCTTACGCTGGTAAATGTTTTCATTAATATTTTTTAATTTTTATCAAATATTTACCAAATATTGCTTGTAAGATTTTAAGAATTAAGATTTAATTAAGATGAGACTCAAGTTAAATTTCTTCCACATTTCAGTTTTTTACTATGATAAATAAATTTAATAAATAGATATTGTTTTAACTGTTGAGTTTTTCATTGATTGCTATTAAATTCAGATATTTTTCAACTTATTTTTAGATGCCATAAAATTTGTGCCTGCCTGTGGAGCCTCAAAGAAAGCAGGGTCATCAACAAAGAATAAAAAACACAACACACCTGGCAAAAGTAGGGGGTGGAAGAAATATGATGGGGACTACGTGGAAACTGGGATGATTCTTTTCAGGCAATTAGGGTTGAAAGTCTATCCTGGGGAAAATGTAAGATAGTGAAAAATTCCTTTTGACTGATTGGAATGCTTTCTTTATATTATAGTTAGTGGTGGATCTAAGGGGAGGGGGGCCAGTGCCTTCCCCATTGTGAGCAGCGTTTGTATCAAAAGTCAGAGTTGTCTAGATCCGTTACTGATTATAATATATGCAGATGCCATGTGAAATGTTGATTCAATGATTTATATAAATTATTAGTTATTAATATTGAAAAATAGAACGTGTTGTGCTCAAAATTATGCTATCTTTATTTGCTGCATTTGATTAATCTATCAATTTACAAAAATTCCCTACCAAAATCTTTTTAATCAAACCCTAATGTAATTTTTCTGTTCTAATCTTTAAATAGTATATAACATGCAAATTTTGTTAGGTTGGTTGCGGAAGAGACTTCACATTGTATTCATTGTGTCCTGGTCATGTGTTCATATCCAAAGAAACCCTCTCACCTTATTCAACGAGTCCACTGTATAATGCCGTTAAGGCAGGAAGAATATTTGAGAAATATTTCTTCCACGTGGTTCCTGATAAGAAACAATCCCAAACATTTAATTTGGTGTCTTATACATGATTTTTGTTTTCTGGAAAGATAAATCAAATGATTTTCAACAGCAGATAAATATTTGTTCATATTAATGTCATACATTTTATTAAAATATTTTGAACTAGTTTCCCAAAGATTCCTAATTAACCATCATAAATGTACTCTACATATATCCTTTTATCTAAGCGGATATAGATATAGTACATTAAGCAATGTCACTTATGAAAATTGTGGAACACCACAATAAAGGGCACAGAAATTAAATTGCTAAAAGTTATGTTAATTTTTTTATAGATATTATTGAAATCCGTAATAAAATGTCCACCAACAGGAAAGCAACCAGCGTCAGTGAACACACATGAATGAGAAATCATTCATAAAATTAGGTCGTTTTTATTCAAAAAGGCACGATATTAAAATGTACACATGTTTAAATACACATATTTGAAATGATGGCTAGATTGTATTAGAAAATTTTTATTTACAATGATTTCTTGGGGTGGATATGAATGGTGGAAATACAACACGCATACACACACACACATTTAATAATAAATATTAACATATCAAGATAAAATTTAATTGTTAAGGGGAGTAGGACGAAAATTTTCGACTCCGCCACTCCCACACCAACAAATTTCAAGACCATATTCATGATATCTCAAATAGCGAATGCAAAAGAATACACAAATCAATATAATATAATATATATATAATATAACCGTAATAAAAGGATCGTAAATCAATAAAAACGCTCTCCTTAAATAATTTTCAGAGATATAACAACACGACATACACAAGGAACATGCCCGTCAACACATTGCATGCGATAATATCACTAATGATAATAACTATAATAATAATAGTAATAATTATATTACTATAATTATTATTAATTATATTATGATTATTATGTTGAAATTTTGAGGCTGGCAACAGCTTTGGTAGCGGCGTCATCGAGATCTGTGCTGTTTATGACGTTGATGCCACTGGAACTCAAAATGCTCCGCGCTTCTTCAACGTTTGTGCCTTTTGGGAGAGTATGAATGGATCAATTACAAAAATTATTAATATTATTACTTTTGTTATTCTTTTTATTTTGTTTGTAGAGCATGCTTGTGGTAATCATTTTTTAAGAAGTTTTGCAAAGGATTTAATTCATCAAATCTTTCAAGTTGATTTAAACTGAACCGTCGATAAAAAAGATAAAACATCAAAAGATTTGATGCGTATTAATGAAAGGTACCGGGCAAGTTATGAGGTACAGTACAATACAATCTGATACAATATTAAACAATACAACGCAATACAATACAACAAAATACAATACCATTCAACACAATGCCATACAATACAACACAATGCAATGAAGTATAATCTGACCGTATGAACAAGCAATAGAATTATATCGGTACGGTAATAACATGATTCAACACGTGATAAAACACACACGAAACCATCAAATTGATACATGGACGACGAGGAATGAATTGTGAAAACCATCAAGGAACCTTCTAGTCTGACAATAAGAGGTGTCTTGAGTTCAATGGTACGAGCCGCATTTACAATGCCCTTTGCAACTATAGAGCAATTTACAATTCCTCCAAACACATTCACCAATATGCACTTCACCTGTAAATGTAAATGAAAGTTACGTAAATAAAGATATGTAATGCTTCTGTGTGCTATTCAGAATTTCTTATCATTAAATTTATACATTGATGAGCAAATTATAAATGTTACACTTTTTAAGATTTTGGATGGAGGGATTGTTAGTCTTTCACTGTTCTTTTTTTTAAATTTTTAATAATTTTATTAACTTATTAACAATTCTTTCTAATACTTTCCCTCCCTCCTCTCTCTCTCTCTTTGTAATATCTTTGAAATGGAGCAGCATTGATATTTCAACATGCCTGTTTATCATTAGCCAGAATTTTGAATGCCTGAGATATTTGTGCTTCATTGACACCCCCTCCAACGTCCAGGAAGTTTGCAGGCTCTCCGCCTCTCAGTTTGATCATGTCCATCGTGGCCATCGCCAGTCCTGCTCCATTCACTGCAGGCAGGAAGCAAAATTAAAATTAACATTCCTAATTCAACATTATAAAGAAACATTCTCAAATCCTCATCAATGGATCAGCCAGTGTGTCTGCCAGCCAATCAATCCAATCAATCAATCAACCAATCATTCCAGTCTTTCCTCTATCTACCCACTCATTCAAGCATCCATCCACTTACTAACCCATACAGCCAATGTTACCATGGAGGCCAATGTAGTTGAGGTTATGCTGGGAGGCCTCAAGTTCTCGGGGGTCTGATTCGGAATGGTCAGCCATTTTGAAAACTTCCTGCTGGCGATAGGCTGCATTGTCATCAAAGTTGATTTTTGCATCAAAGCAGATTACTGGTTGGAGTGGGTGAAAATTTTTTGTCTTCAAATTCAAATTTTTAATAATTTTAATGCTTTAAAACTGCACCTAGAATATAGTTCTAATAATTTTAATGGTTTAAACTGTATCTAGAATATAGTTCTCATGTTATTTCAAAGCAAAATTTAAAACCACATTTGTGTGAATGGAAAAATTAAATCCCAAAGGAGACACAAACTCAATGAAAAGTTTCTAAAACTTTTAAAATTTAATTCAAAGTAACAAGACATGATAGATACAATTCGAGATCAGACTTTGCAAAAGTATTTGAACAGGCATAACAACAGCAAGGTAGATTGGCATTTAAAATATTCAGGTAAAGCCCTGGAAAAAATATTTTAAACATAAAAATTATTTAACAAACCAAAAAATTTTCAACCTCTGTCATCAGTAGTTTCACCGAAAGGGTTGATTTCAATCTGCGTAGCATCAAGCTTAATGAAAAGTTTATACAAATTCAGCAACTCCTTCTTTGCCTTGTTCAACAGATGTCCTTCAAACTTTAAAAATTTTGCAATTTCAAGAGCCTGGTCTTCTGAAAGTCCTTTCCAGATATCCACATGTGTCTGTGTGTGTGTGTGTTGGTCTTGCAGGATTGGTCGTAACAATGGGTGCAGCAGAATTATTGGAGAAATTGAAAATTGTAGAAATTGCTTTTTTTAGAATCATTTTGATATTAATACAAGTGTGTGCCTTTAAAATGTGATACAAAGAATGTAACCGAAAATAATGTAACTAAAAAATCATATATATATATATATATATATATATATATATATATATATATATATATATATATATATACATACAATATTCTATAAATTCTACCGAATGTTTGGCGTTAACATGTTTGTAGTTCGTTTTTTCATTTTCTACAAACATGTTAACACCAAACATTCGGTAGAATTTATAGAATATTGTAAAAATTATGGTCTATTACCAACATATATATATATATAAATATATATATATATATATATATATATATATATATATATATACAAAACTGGAAGAAAAAAAAGTAGATCTCTAGCAACTATTTTTTAAAACTTTTATGAGCAATGCTTTAAGCAATAAGCACAATAAGACCATTTGAGAAGCAGACTAAGAGAACTATACAGCACCACAATATATTTTACAACTATAAAATTTTTAATCTTACGAATAATTTTCATCAAAGCAACTATTTATACACAGATAGCCCTCAAAATTGGAGCAAACTTTTAGTATCATCTCAGGTTGAGTAGCAGCCACATCTTCGATATCGACCCCGCCACATGGACTGCAGATGAATATCGGCCCGCTACTTTCTCGGTCCATAACTATTGCCACATAAGTCTCTCGCTTTATGTCCATGGCTTCTGCTACCATTACCTACAAAATAAAATAAGCGTTACATTAAACTATGAGACACAATGATATCATTGTTACCGTATTTCTTTACCTCAATTCACTGACACTCTTATAATTATCTTGCTAACTTCAAACCATTAAAATACAAATTGATAACACTATTATTATTATTATTATTACCTTGTTAACTTTAACACCCTCCTTGGGTGTTTGCTTGGTGATGATTTTGTGGCCCAGCATATTCTCAACTAGTGCTGCTACTTCAGATGATCTGTTGAAAATAGATATGTAAATTACAAAAAAGAATAAAAAACTTTAAATATTTATATTGATAATATACAAAATATTAACTTTTTAGTGAGGTGCACTCCACCTTTGAAGCCAGTATCAAATACACCCTTCCCCCGGCCACCAGCTAAAACCTGGGCCTTTATCACATACTCTGTTACTTCTGAAACATTGAGATTTATTTATTGAAAAAATCTGATATTAAAAACATAATTTTTAAAATATGTTGATGCATTTAATTTAATAGCCACACATGCTAATATAACTATTATAAAATTTAATTAAGATGAAAGTCTTTTTGAACAATATTAACAAATTAATGAAAATTAACTGTTAGGATCTAAAAGTGGATCAAAAATACTTGCTGAACTTGGCAGCAATGTCGTGGGCTGATTGTAGATCATGGGCCACCATGAACTTCTGCACTGAGAGGCCTGCCTCTTCCATCAATCCTTTGCTTTGGTATTCATGTAAATTTAAGAAACGTGCTGGAATCTTTCTTAGAAAGTTCTGAAATTATTATTATTCATCTTCTCCATTATATAATAACAATGTCTTGTTAGTCATGAAATCTTTTGTAAAGTAGTGTCGTTATAAAATTTATAGTTGAAATAAATTTAACTAAACTGAAAAACAAGTAGCAGTAGAAAATCAAAATCTGAAATCAGGTTGCTCAGAGGCTCAGACAAACCCTCCAATTTATAATTTAAATATTTTTTAAATTAAAATAAAAGTAGCAATTGTTCATCACTAACTTTTGCACAGAGCAACTTCACCGATGAATGTAATTTGGAAAACATAATTGAATTTGTTTGTCAAAGTCGTTTAAACTCTAAATAATAAATTTTTCATGTACAAGTGACGGTAGGTAGAAAAGCATGAGACACGCTACGACACTGCCTGTCAGTTACGTTAGCAACGTAAAGAAGCATCAATCAAATTATATGGACAGCCGTTATTTTTTTTATACGTGTGCCTGTAGTGTGTGGTGTGTGTGTGTAAGAGTACTTATGTTTTAAATCAAATTCCACACAAGTAATAAAGCTGTATTTTTGAAATTTCTGTATAAGCTGGCCAGAAAGATTTACAACATATAGGTACATACAATCACCCACAACCGATATATTCAATATTCATCTTCCAATGATGATTCTGTATGTTCGCTATCTGTCTCTGTCATGCATCCATTTATAGTTACGAAAGTTACGAAATAAATTTACGTTTTTCAGCCATGTGTCGTGTGGACGCCGTGTAGATATCGTTGTTGTGTTCAAATAATTCAATGAAAAAGAATACAACAACAACTGATAATAGTTTTGGTTTGAAATATTACATTACAGGACTATATACAGATTCAATGATCCTCTGTAATCCCTTAAGGGACCGTTGAGGACGATGGTATTCTTCTATCTCTCCAAAATCTTTTTCTTTCCCTCACCATCTTCATTGAGCTCAATGTTCCAACCCCCGTCCATTCCGTGATATCATCCATCCACTTCCTCACAGGTCTTCTAACTTTTTTCTTCCAGTCCCTCTTTCTCATCAGTACTTTTTTGATCAGTCTGTCGTCTGTCATTCTGCAGATGTGCCCAAAGATACCCAGTTTTTTTTCCTTGACACTTTCATACACAGTTTTTTTTCTTCCAAGTTGTTTTCTTATGGCATCGTTTCTTATCTTTTGTCTCCAACTGATTCCCAGCAACTTTCTATAACAATGCATCTCGGATGCTTCCAGTTTGTCTTTGTCTCTTTTCTTCAACGTCCAAGCCTCACATGCATACATCAATGTAGAAAACACACACGCTTCTACGATCTTTACCTTTGTTTTTGTAGATACATTACCGTTTTTCAAAATTACTTTCAAAGATGCAAACATTCTTCTCGCGATTGCTATTCTTCTATCAATTTCTTTCGAACAATTATTGTCATCAGTTATGAGGCTTCCCAGATATATAAATTGGTTCACTTGTTCGAGCTTTTCTGCTCCTATTTGGAATTCATCATTGTTTCCACCTGCTTCCGAAATCATTATCTTTGTCTTACTACTGTTGATGTGTAGTCCATGGTTTCTTCCACCATCGTACGTCAACTCGATCAGTTTCTGTAGACCCTCTGCACTAGATGCTAGCAGATCTATATCATCTGCAAACCTGAGGTCCCTTATCACTCTGCCTCCAATGTCGATTCCCTCAATATCTGCATTCTCCATTTTTTCCAAGGCTCTTTCCAACAGTGCTAAAAACAGTAATGGTGATATTGGATCTCCTTATCTACTTCCTATGCTCGCTTTGATCCAGTCTGCCAGCTCTGTACCTACTTTTACCGCTATTGTTGACTCCTCATAAAGCCATTTCAGCACCCTTACCATTTTTGTTGACACTCCCATACTTTCCAAAGCTGCCCACAAACCTTCGTGCCAGACTGAATCAAACGCCTTCTTAAAATCCACAAAACAATGAAAAGTTGTTTGACCTCTGCTTCCTGCATCTTCCAACAATAGTCTCAACATCAGGATTTGCTGGACTGTATTTCTGTCCTTTCTGAAACCTGCCTGCTCCTCTCCTAAATGCTGCTCTATGTCTTTCTCCAATCATTCTTTCAAGATCGTCAGCATGATCTTGCACATATGAGGGATCAGTGCTATTGATCTGTAGTTGTTGCAGTCTTTTAGGTCTCCTTTTTTTGGCAACATGATCAAGATTGATTTACACCAATCTTCTGGCCATTTTTCACTGTCCCAGATTTCTTGGCAGATTTTGTGAAGATTGGTAGATACAGATAGATACTAAAAAACCAAAAGTTTTTATCTTTTGTTTCTTCAATGAAATATGAAGAATTTTAAAAATATAAAACATGAACTAAACGAAACAAAATTAACATTCAAGATCTTTTACGTCAAATCAAAATACCATGTAAATATCAATAATATTAGTTCATATTTGATTTATTCTTCATCCTAGATATACCAGCCACACTTTGATTTTCTAAATAAAAATAAGCAAAAATGAAAAGTGTTATCAATCAGTTGTTTACAAAAATCAGAAAGAAGGTAGTAACATTTTTTCAAAACTGAAAAATAATCAAATTTATTCAAATTTATTCGACAACAGAAACTTTCTTTTAGCTAGCTCACAATACCATTGATTAACCTTGTTAAAAAAGTTTTACAACAAGGCTGAAAAACGTAAATTTATTTCGTAACTTTCTTAACTAAACTATACACATTTTCATAAATTTTTCACCACAAAAATATTTACCCACAAAATCGTTTTATATCGTTTGCAATCATCCTTTTTGGCAAGTTTACTACTCTAAACTGAACCAAAACGACGATGGTTGCTCTTTCTCTCTCTCTTTCTCTCACTCTCTCTCTCTCTCTCTATATATATATATATATACATATATATATAGTTTTATATACCAATGAGTGTGTAAGTTTGCAAAAGAAATCGTCAAAAAATTGCTTTGAACGATCATAAATGCTGTCAAACAAAATACTCTAAAGTCTTTTTATATATTTTTTTCTAAAGAGGATGAAATATGCAGAGAGTAATAGAGCAACAACAGCAACAACACCGATGCCACCGCCGATGGTTGTAGATCAAGTATTTAACGAACTAAACCTCAAGCTCTCAAACAATCCTCATCTTGATATCATGAATGCCAGCACAACTGTCACTTCGTCGAAATCTCTCACAAGAAATTCATCCCCCACAGTTTTTATGACGCTACTAAGTGAGGACGAGAAGAGGACTGGCTTGGATGGAGAACCAAAAAAGTCGTCCACATCAACCTTTTTTAATTTCCCTCTCT